GAATGGACATGAGGAGAATTAAGAGGATTTTAAAACAAGAAGAGGTTTGAATAATCAAGCTGAGAGAAAAACTCCTGCCTAGGAGTGTTTTATGGGACAGGCATAAAGAAAAAACTAAATGTTTTGTAAAATGAAATCTTAGCTAAGTGACTCCAAGAAGAGTCCATAAGAGTTCATATACCCTGGTTGTCAGTTTCTATAGCTTGATGGCAGAGGTATGGCATAGCTGTAACATCAAATTTTGCCCCTACTTTGCACCAGGTAAAAAGTTAGTGTACTTGTTAAAATCAACAGCCCTCAGAAAGTACTTAGTGTCAGACCAGAAATGACCCTGCCTGTTCGCTTGCCCTAGGATGTTCTTTTATGTAACTAACGAAGGGATTCTTTGCCTTCTGCTTTTGAAAGAGTCATCCCATTCCTCCCATCCATCAGAAATAAGTGATCAGCAATATCCTGAATTTCCAGCTGTCTAGCTTATTCCATTAATCAAACTGCAGGCTGTATTTGGAAGGTCTAGCTGAATTTATTGAATGAACATTTCTGATAATAAATCATTTTGGTTCCTGCAAGCATTTCAATTACAGTTTTATTTTAAGGCTGGTTAGCCAGAACTATCCAATGCTGAATAAACAAGCTGTCTGTCTCTGTAACCAGTATCTGGTATTTCCCTCTTCTGCAATAATACAATACATGTCCTGCAGGTGGAATTTTCCATGTTCCATAAAAATTATTGTTTAATGTGATTTTCCACAAGAAAATGGAAACCACAGTACAAAAAAAAGGACTCTACTATCATTTTTGAGCACCTGGGAACTTACTGGATGGTATTGCTGGAGCTGTATTATTTGTTCCCCTAGTTCTGGATGTCACATTTTCTTGGACTAACAGATTTTGACAAATAGGTCTCAAACAAATGGAGGTGAGAACTCCAGGACCTCTGTAGCTCAGATTTACCTTTGCACTGAGACAGAAAAATAAATCTAAATGAAAACCTCCTTGAAATCCGATAAGGCGTGTACCATATGTGATCTGTCAGAACACTATGCTGAGAGTGTTGAACTCCCCACTGGGGGTCAGAATCGCATATCTTTTTTCATCTCCTTTGCCAAAAGACAACAACATTAGCACAGGCACATACAGAAGAGCTACCATGTGACTACTTGATCCCCTGCATTGGCTAGACCCCATGTCCTGTTGCCTGCAATAGCCTTAGGAGAGGTTTTAACTCCCCACATAGCCTCCACTCCTCTCATTCCTTTGCTGCAGAGGTGACCCTGGTTGAACCTCCATCACTGTGCTGAAACTCTTTGAACAGATGAATTGGGAACACAAATTATGCCAGTACTGTGGCATCTAAATAAAAGAGAGGAAGAAGTGTAAAGTCTCTGTTTCTTTTGATAAAAAGCATGCTTGTTGTTCTTATAATTCATATACATTGCATTCACTGGGTTTTTAGCCGGGTTTAGGGGAGAGGAGATGAAACTGTTATAACAGGAGATCTGCAGATTAGTCTTTGACACATATACTCAAAGTCATTTGAGCCGTATCAGGCAATACCAGCTGTAAATCAGATCTCTAGTCTGAATGGTTAAATTTCTTAATCTGCAGGGAAAAACAGTGATGAACATTAATTTTTATTTGACATTGAGTGGCTGTAAGCATTTTCACAGAGCCTTGGTATCATCTGTGTGTCATCTGGAACTACCGAATATACCATCTGAAACCCCTGCAGCATGAAGCACTGGTTATTCCTTTTTTTTTGCCAGAAATGTTAGCAGAGCCACTGATAGCCACTGGGATATGTTCCAGTGCTTGCCAATAAAAAAGAGAGAACTAAGCTCTCAAGACAAGTTGCTGCTGGGCTAACTTGCTGTAGCCACATGATTTCCACATTTTCTGCAGAATGAATTAAATGAACCACATCGAACATCAACAATGGGAGTAACTGAATCTACACTTTAAAGAGCTAGTTGAAGCCCACACTTCCTCTAGCTTCAGGCACTGGTGACTGATAGCAAGACTTGTAAACAAACCAGGAGAAACAGCACAGTCCTGACCATCTTCGGTCCCCTGCCATCACAACTTCTTCTTTTTCCTGACCAGGATAATCTTTATTCTAACCCAGCTACCTCACCTCTGGTATAGTCAGACAAAAATATCCTTGTGTATTTCAAATGAAGCAAATAGCTTTAGGCTATTAGTGATAAATCACAGATAAGTCAGAGTCCAAACACTTGATTTGACTGTAGATGTGAATTGCAAATTCCTATAGAATTGTGAATATTTTTATTTCCAGGTTCTTTATAAGAACAGCTTTCTTTAAGAAAAATTATGACATATTCTCATACCCATTTTGAATCAGGTTGGTGAGTAAACATTGGCTGAAGTGTTGAGATTTTTTTTCATCAGGGTGAGCAAGAAGTGGCTGCTCCCTCAATCTCTTCACCAAAGTTCATATTTAAGGAGAGTGGAAAACCAATGTTTTCTCCTTGCATTTTGAATCAGATTGAAGTTTAAAAAAATCAAATAAAAATCACTTATGAGCCCTGAAGCATCAAAGCAAAATTGGTAAAGGCAGCTTCACTGATCCAGTTCAGGGTCATCATCTTCATCCCCACCGTGACTGTGATCCATCACCAGACAGCATGGAGCAGGTAATCTGGAGCATTTGGTTCTCCGTTCTTTGATGGATGTAAAAAATCTGGATCTATTTTTTTGTGTTTTTTGTGCTAGACTCATGGTTCAGAAGGAGATTCTGCAATGATTGATTTACTTCTTAACTTAAAGATACATCTCTAAAGAAAGCCTAGAATAGCAATGCATTTTTTCCACTGCCCACTTGGGTTACAGACTTTCCAAGTCTATGGACATCTGCTGCTTTGTAGCCATAACAGGCCATGTTGTAGCTATTCCACAGACATTTCTGTAACATGCATGATTATCATTACCTTCATAATTAATAGCAGATTTATAAGGCTTTGAAGTTTTGATTTCTTTGCTGGCTTGGGAGAACAATAGCGAGCAACATGGGCCTGGGTGTTTCTTCAATCTTTCATTAGCAAAGTATTGCAGATCAAAAGCCAAACTAGTGGAAAGGGTGTTAGCTGTGAGAGAAGGCAGCCCACATTCACTTGAATCCAGTGATCCTTATCTGGTCCTGTCTTGGTTTTTAACAAAAACTTAAGCCAACTGGCCTTTGCATAATCTGAATTTGATTTTTATTCTTGAAATTTAAGAGAAAAAAATAATCTCTGTAGAATAGAAATGTGACTCTTGCATCGACATTTAGTTAGATATTAATACAGGAACACATAAAATGTGATTTGCTTATGGCAAATGGTTTCCTACAGCTAAAAAGAAAGTACAGGAGCCCCTGAATTCCTTCTGTTGTGCTTATCACCCAGGAATCATAACAGAATGATACTTTGTATTTTGTATTGAATTGCTGAGGTGAGTAGCTTGAGAGAGGACGCCTTGAACACCCGAGCCGGGGGGAGATCAGCGTCCAGGAGCCCCAACTCAGAGCAGCAGCAGCCACTGAGAGAGCCTCAAGTCCTCGGCAGGACCTGCCCCGGAGCCGGCAGCTCAGCTGACGCGAGCAGGGACTCACAGGGGGCGGAGCCAGGAGGAGCAGCACCGGCCCTGACTGGGTTAAAACCTGCCCCAGGGAGCGCGAGCGACCAAGAACGCGGCGAGGCAGTTCGGGCGGGCAGGCGAGCGGGATGGTGAGCTGCCGCCGTATGACCAGGGCCCTGCCTGGGAGCCCTGCTCTAGCTGCCCCGGCGGTGGCCAGCATAGGCGCCCAGACAGAGCTGATGAGAGGGGAGGCTGCAGCGCAGAGCTCGGAGTGTAGAGAGTGCCTGCACTGCTCTGGTGAGGGGAGGGTGCACCATGGGCAGGGCTGTACTCGGTGCGCCCTGGTGGAGGTCCTGCAACAGGGGCTGAGCTGCGGGATGCTGTCAATAGGCCGCAAGCTGTCAGGGAAGCTGAGACGAAGCAGCACTGCTTGCTCCTGGCCCCAACTGTGCAGGCACCTCAAGCGTCCATTGTAGCTTCTGAAGTAAAGAAGGAGGCCGTTAACCCTGGAAGCTGGGAATTAGTGACCAAAAAAAAATACAAAAAAAAAACAAAAAACAAACAGACCCACAAAAACAACACAAAAAAAAAAAAAAAAAAGAGGAGGAAAAGAACAATTAAAAGCAAGCGGTTTCCTTTTAAATCTGTTGTCCCCACCCAGAACCACTTTGCTGTCCTGCAGGAGGCTAATGAGGAAACGCACTCACACCATAAACAGCTGGCTGATGCACTGGTAAAGAAGATCACTGCTGGTGCTGCCAGGAAAAAGCGGCGCGTAGTAGTAGTAGGGGACTCTATTTTGAAAGGGACAGAAGCACTCGTCTGTCGGCCTGACCCAATCTCAATGGAGGTGTGTTGCCTACCAGGGGCTTGGATCAGGGATGTTGCAGAGAGGCTGCCTGCTCTAGTAAGTCCCATGGACTATTACCCACTTCTAGCGATAGATGTGGGTGCTAGGGATATACAGTAGTATTTGGGGAACATAGACTAGAGAGCCGTGGGAGAAGTGGTTAGAGGCTCTGGAGCTCAGATAGTCTTTTTGTCTATTCTCCAGGATACAGGGGAGGAACTAAAAAAAGCAAGGAGGATTAGCCAGGTTAATAAATGGTTAGAACAATGGTGCCATAGTCAGGGGCTTGGGTGTCTTGAACACGGGACCCAAGTTTGTAGGCCAGGTCTAGTGGGGGCTGGTGGAGCTGGTCTCAGCATTTTTCGTAGGAGGCTTGCCACACTGGTCAAGGAGGCTTTAAACTAGATGTGTTGGGGGAGGGGGACATCATTCCATCCCACCACACCCAGTCAGTTGCCAGCGCCTATAATAAATGCTCAGAGCAATGTAGAGATATTCCAGCCGCTCCAGCCAGTGAGCCAGCTTCATTTGGAGCTCGGCTTCAGATGCCTCTATACAAAAACTGGTAGCATAGGGAGCAAACAAGAGGAATTAGAGACGTGTGCAGGTCTACAGGGGTATGATATAATAGACATCGCAGAAACATGGTGGGATGGCTCCTATGACTGGAGTGTTGGAATGGAAGGTTACAGGCTCTTTAGGAAAGACAGGCCTGGCAGACACGAAGGGGGAGTTGCCCTTTATGTTAGGAATAGGCTGGAGAGTATGAAACTCTGTCTGGGGACAGGTGATCAGTTAACAGAGTTTGTGGGTCAGGGTTAAAGGGAGAACAGCGATGGGAGACATTACTGTGGGGATCTGTTACAGACTGACTGATTAAGAGGAACCTGCGGATGACACACTCTATAGACAGATAGGAAAAGCCTCATGCTCACAGGCCCTTGTCCTCATGGGGGACTTCAACCACCCTGGTATCTGTTGGAGGGACGGAACTGCTCGACACAAGCAATCCAGGAGGTTCCTTGATTGTGTGGAAGACAACTTCCTTCTGCAAGGAAGGAAATCCTGCCTGACCAATTTGGTGGCTTTCTATGATGGGGCTACAGAAGTGATGGGCAGGGGTAGAGCAGTTGATGTCATCTACCTGGACTTGTGCAAAGCATTCAATACTATCCCACACAACATCCTTGTCTCTAAATTGGAGAAATATCAATTTGATGAATGGATCACTCAGTGGATAAAGAACTGTCTGGATGGCCACACACAGAGTTGTGGTCAATGGCTCAATGTCCAGCTGAAGACCAGTAACGAGTGGTGTCCCTCAGGGATTAGTGTTGGGACCGATCTTGTTTAACATCTTTGTCGCTGACATGGACAGTGGGATTGAGTGCGCCCTCAGCAAGTTTGCCGATGACACCAAGCTGTGTGGTTCGGTTGATACGATGGAGGGAAGGAATGCCACCCAGAGGGACCTTGACACTCTTGTGAGGTGGGCTGGTACCAGCCCATGGGAGGGTGGAACTAGATGATCTTAAGGTCCTTTCCAACCCTAACTATTCTATGATTTTTGAAAGCATCATAAGTCCAAAATAGCTTTGCAAGTTTAAAAAGCCACAATGCAATATGTTTTTATTTGAAGTTGAAAGGTGACTGATGAAAATACAAACTGACTGAAGCTTCTTTTCACAGGCAAATGCAAAATTTAATAAAATCTTCCTTTTGAATTTTTTTTTCAGGAGCACATGGACTTGCTGGTCAAAAGATGTGAGATGCTGAACGGTATCTTACATTGAAAGCCAACATGAATAAGACCAAAGCACTATGACAGGGTCTATTTTCAGTCTTTTGTTTTCCACAGATAATTACGAATGTTTCAGTTAAGAAAGAGGAAAAATAATAATCTCATGAAGTTCTCAATTTCCTGCTTTTAATAGCAAAAAAGCCAGACTACACAGTGCTTAAAGACTGGAAGCAGAGAATGCCACAGGGAGAAATTCACTCCGTTGCAAATATGCTGTTGCTTATATTTGTCAAGGGCAGTGGAGTTAGCATTTCTCCTCCGAATAATATTTAGAGATTTGACACAAATGTAAATGTCCATAGAAGTCAAGTCTCTTCAGTGATAAATACAACCCCCAAAACTAAGCCACCATCAGCAAAATGCTGCTGCTTCTGTGCTCAGCCTTTGCACTGAGTCATTGGCAGAAATTGCAGGAGGAATAATGCTCATCCTAGCTTTTAGTGTCGAGTAGTAGGCAGTCTGTGAGATTTGGATGGCTGCAATCTACTGGTCAAGTATGAAGAAATAGGTGCTGAAGTGTGTGGAAGACCTGCCTGATGACTCTGATGGGAGTATCATCTGTAATATGCCAAGTTTTTTTAACCTCTTCATCTTAAAAAAATTGATTAGCAATTTTTAATCATTACTTCAGGAAGGAGAATCCTGCAAAGCAGTGTGTGGCAGTGTCAGATGGGGTGGGACAGCCTATAATAGCTATCTGCTTATATTTATTTTTATTTTTTAGCAGAAGATGTAACATAGATGGTATTCTGTGGCTCACTTTTCCATTTACAAAACCTTATCTGGAGCTTTAGTCATGGAAATGTTATTTGCAGTACTTTGTTTCCTCTTAAATTAAGGTCAAAATGTGCTAATGTCTGGTGGGAAGGGCTGCAGTCTAAGGCATGATGTATTGAAAGAGCCATTAAAATTCAGGTAGGGTAGAAATAGTCCTGCAGTGTATGGGGCTAGATTCCTGTGCTGAATTGCAATGAATTATTGAGGTGATCTCAGAGGATTTAACTAATGATAAGTCACCAAGGACTGGTTAAATAAAGGTGAAACTAAACACAACCATGTAAACAACAAAGATAGCATGACTGGCATCCAGGCTAATTTCCTAGAAGGATTTATTTCTTCTTTATAAAAAAAAAAATACTTGAAACAATTTAGTAACATTTTTAGAGGTCATTAAGCCAAAGCAATTTATTTAAACAAAGCAAAAACCTGATGTTTGCCATTCAGGACCTTTTCTATTTTCGAATATAAGTGGTGCAACTCCAATAATGTCATTACCCTTTGAAAACCTAGCCTGCTGAAGACCAAGCTCATAATGATTGCGTAGGCTCTTTAGTAATGCTAACTCTTACTGCACTGTGTCTCCCTTCTCTGCCATAGAGCACATAAGCAGACATCTTGAAAAGCACTGAAAGGAAAACCAGAACAAAGTCCTGTGAAGAGTGTGTAGATCATGAGGGCAAAAGGAATATATATGGGACTTGCCCAAATCCATATTTCTTTTTGTTGTTGTTGTTGTCATTCACAGTTATTTGCAAATGCTCCTACCTCATAAAACATTCTGGAAGAGACTGGATTATTCAAGCATTCAGTGTCATTCCCTACAAGGTCTTTTACAAAGCGGTGAGTAATCTAAGCAACAAAAGTAATTCAAGACATTAGTTAACCGATTTTGCAGCTGTTGGCAGTTTCATCTCTGATCACCATGCACAGTAGAACACACCACCAGACAGATTCAGGGCACTTACAGGCAGAAGATTTTCCATCATTTAACCCATTTCCTTGTTGGGGCAAGATCATTGCTTATTTGTACATTGAGCAGCCTGTTTAATTTTAAACATCCCACCAATAGGGTTCTTTCCACTCTCCCTGGAGACAGGACCTTTCCACAACAATTAGCAGAAAAGTTTTCTTGTAAAAGTGTCAGCCAGGCTAAGGAGCACAAAGACCAGATATGTGGTAAGTCCTGAGGGGAGGAAGGGAAGCTGCTGGTGTTGGTTCTGGGACATGTTAAGGAGGGCAACCTCACCTCCTACTCTGGTTGACTACTGTAGATGTATTGAGGGGTCATGAGAAGGAGACTGTTAATTTGGACTGACAGTTTTCAGTGATTATCATTAACAACATTTTATAGAGAAATTACAGTGCTTAATGTGAGGTGTCCCTGCACATGGCAGGGGGGTTGGAACTGGATGATCTTAAGGTCATTTCAAACCCTAAGTATTCTATGATTCTATGATTCTACAGTCATGCTAGCATCATAAGTTTGGAAAGAAAACACTGGCTAGAACTGTCCAGGCCAGTCTTTCTTGCCTTTACATTAACACGCCTGGTTTTTGTGTGGGGCTTTTTTTTCCAATTCTCCCCCCAAGAACTTCACAAAATGCATGGAAACAAAAGCAGAAGCTGAGATCTTGAAAAAAATGACCTTTAATGTGTTTTTCTGATTCTGCTCCCACTTTTCAGGGTGTTGAAATCTTCTGTTTCTTCATCATTTCATCTGAGCTCTGAACTGGGCATCCACGAGAACCAGCTAAAGCAGAATCAATTAAACATGGAGCTGTTTCCTGTCCAGTGTTAGATTTGATATCTAGTTTTTGCAGCAGGGCAGTATGGCACGAAATTGCAGGGTGGGTGAAGAACAAAATGTCATTTCACAGCTCAAGGAAACCCAGCCTACTTCTAGTTTTTATTTCAAACAAATCATCTCTGTTCTAAGACAGCTTTTCCCCCATTTGGGACTGCTTCTTTTATTATAATGTGTTACTATAAAGAATAAGGTCTGGAGCCTTCTCTCACTCAAGGTTTTAAAAATAAACCCATTATTCTGGAATTTGGGATTCTTTGAAATATGCCATACCAGAAGAATCCAGACTCCGGAGGAAAGAGGTTCAGTGACAGGATCTGCTTTCACAGCAGTATAGTTCTCACTCCCAGCTCATCATTTGAGGGTTGTTTCCAGTGGCTACATGAACAGCTTATTGGTAACATCTTTGTCAAGTACAATAGTTCAAACATGTATCCATGGTACAAATACACTCAGTAATTACATTTTTAAGACATGGGCAATCAATTAGGAACCATACTGGCATGGAGTTATATTGTCTTCTGTTACTGTCCCTGCTTATCCTGCTTCATTTTGGTCATTCTTTTCATTTTTCCAGATTCACATGGTCTGCTGGGCAGCTGCGTGAGCTGGATGCCAATGTTTGGAGTGCATTTCCTGGCCTCCTTAGGTCTGATATGTGAGTAGCAGGCTTTCTACTAACAATATCCACTTTTAAGGGCTTAGATATGACTCTGCTTTGGCTGGTTGCAGTAGCTTTGGGGGCCAAGTACAAACCAGCATGGGTTCAGCCTGAAAATGAGTCATGGAGCCACCCCGAGTAATGCTTTCTTTCAGCGTGTTCTGCATTGTGAAAGTGTCAAGTTCTCTGTGATTCTGTACAAGATGCAGAAATGAAATACCATTGTTGTTTGTTTTTTTTTTAAGCTTAAAATAATATGTCCCCATGGCACATCCTAAACATATAGAATCTACCCATGTACAGCTTCACCCCCTGGAGAACTGTGAAAACATGCCCAACTTCTAAGGAATCTAAGAAGGAAAGAGGATAGTTTTACTAAGCTTTATTGGCTGATTACTATATGTGCATCTGCTGTTTCATTTAACAAATTTCCCACTACTTTTCCTCACTCCTTTCTTTCTCTTTTTTTTTTCCATTTTTTTTTCCCTTTTTGTAAAGGCATTGAATACAGTGTATTTCATGAAATTAATTCAATATGCGTATAAACTGGCAAGAAATAGGAGAGGCTTTGACAATGCAGGACTATGGATCATCAAAATGGGGAAAAATGTCTGCAAATCATTTTAACTTTATATAATAGTAAATAGGAGTTATCAGGAAGAGAAGTCTTATTAACTGCATAAAGAGCAAGGAATATAAGAAAACTTTCTTGCACTGCCATTAGAGTGAATGGCGGTGATAGTGAAACACGTATAAAGGAAAAAGCGAGACTAAGATATTAACAGGGTTTGGGAATAAAGGACGAAGAAGATGGAAGAATTTGTAAATGGAAGACTGCAATGAAGAATGAAAATATAATAACTGAAACTTCAGAAGAGAGGTAAACTAGAGCAAATATATACTCAATAGAGCTTCAGCAGTTTGTAAACATAATCTCTGTATGGGAGATTACTAATTA